TGCTGATGACCAGCGTGCAGGTTTGTAGTGTATACCCTTTGGTTGGTTGATGATGCATGGAGGGGATTGTAACCATGGCAATGAAATGATATACATTAGAATGAATGTAAAACTAATGTTCTCCCATGTAAACTATCACCTAATTCACAATAAAGCATTTTTAAAAAACCTCTCATATACATATAAGACTGAGAAAAGTACACATAGATAAACAACAAACAAGACTGTGGGCTAACAGAAGATGTTAAAAGTAAAATTTCATCAGAGGACACTAAAGTCTAATCAGAACCCCAAAATCCTGGAGACAAATAATAAACCTGACACTGAAGGGTCAAAGAGATCAGTTTAGATTCAGCCCCCAATCCACACAATCAGGGACAGAGAGACCTCAAGAGGTGAGATTCAAGGGGTCTCCAATGGGCACGTTATTAGCAAGTTAAGGGACCTAGTTCACAGCAGAGAGTCCATAGGAAGCCAGGGTGGACAATTTTATCACATAGTGGGCACAGTCAGCTGAGCTAGCTGAGACACTTTATATAGGTTGACTATGTGGACACAGTTTCTCACATTCATCGATTTTAGGGCTGGAAGAACCCTTAGCGATCATCTTTTAGTAAATAAAAAAACTGAAATGAAAAGAACTAAGTGACTTGACTGATTGAGGCTAACTCCCTAGTTGCTGTTGCTTCTGACTCATAGCGATCCTGTGTAGGGTTTCTGAGGTTTTAAATATTCTTGGGAGCAGAAAGCCTCATCTTTCTCCAACGAAGTGGTTGGTGGGCTTGAAACACGAATCTTGTGGTTTGTAGTCAAGGTACTTATTGTATGGAGCCACTGTGCTCCCTAACTCCCTAGTGACTCACTTAACTTATTATGAAATGGCCGTACATGTAAAAATATATATGTTGTTGTTGTTAAGAACCATTGAGTCGGTTCTGACCCATAGCGACCCTGTATAGGGTTTCTGAGGAGTAGCTGGTGGGTTTGAACTACCAACCTTGTGGTTTGCAGTTCAATGCTGATCCTACAGTGCCATACAATATGTATAATGGTCATCCATGTTTGAAAAATAAGACATCATTATATTAAACTTTCCATTATAATCTAAGTGACACCAGAACAGGAGGGCCTTGAACTAGGAAAATCCGGAAGATGGTTACAAAGGTGGGCAGGCAGTTCTAGGCCAAGGATGGGGAAGCTAGCCAGGAAAGTGGAAGAGTTGCAGGGTCAGGAGCTACAGGTAGACAGCAAACACGGTCCAAAGGTGAGGAAGTTCAGAGCAGTAGCATGGCAAGCTGTTGTGGCAGATGGGAGACATGATGTCATCTGTCAGGGACAGAGAATGTTTACTCTTTTCATTCATTCTGATCAGCCAGGCCAGAGCTCTGCCTGCCCCAAAGCTGAGCCTGTGTTCAGAACCTGAGGGAGGGAGGGAGCGAGCAATGTGCACTTGTTCAGTAGATTATAGAAGTATCTTTCCTCTTCGAAAGACTCTGCCTGTTAACTCTAGATTTATAGGTAACCAGATTGCAAAGCCGTTTGAACTGCAAGGTTGGCAGTTCAAGATCACCACTTGCTCCTCAGAAACCCTATACAGGGTTGCTATGGGTCGGAACCAACTCGACGGCACTTAACAACAAAACTTGGTAGCGTAGTGGTTACAAATTGGGCTGCTAATCTCAAGGACAGCAATTTGAAACCACCAGCTGTTCCATGTTAGAAAGATGAGGATTTCTGCTCCCGTAAAGATTTACAGCCTTGGAAACCCTATACAGGGTCACTATGGGTCGGCATCGACTCCACGGCACAGCACCACCACCACCCGCCCCTTACAGTCCTGGTGTGGCACTGCAGGATAATGTACTGGACCACAAGGTTCGTTTGAACTACATGGTCAGCATCGAGTCACTCCCTCGGAAATCCTATACAGGGTCGCTATGGGTTGGATCTGACTCGACAGCACTTAACAACAACAAGCCCCTTACAGTGGTATTTATCACTTAATAACTTTTTGTTTTCTGCTTAGTATCTGTCAAATAGGTTTTTCTAATTAATTTTATTGGTTAGGATACATTTTTTCCCCCTAATTAGTTTTGTGGTTCTCAAGCCTGACTGCACATTAAAATCATCTGGGGAGTTCAGGGAAAAATATTAATGCCAAAGCTCCACCTCAGAGATTCTTATTCTTTAATTGGGCATTGTAGAGTAAGCACTAGACTGCTAACTGCAAGGATGGCAGTTCAAACCCATCTGCTGGTCTCAGAAACCCTAAACAGAGTTGCTATGGATTGGAACTGACTTCATGGAATACAACAACAACAACAACAGGTCCAACACTTGGCAGAATTGAAAAGCTGTTCAGGTAATTCTAATTTCTAGCCAGGGCTGAGAACCACTGATTGGAAACACCTGGCACATTTTCAACCCGCGAATCAGTTGTTTAAAAACAGCTGTTGTTTAAAGTGTCCTCAAGTCAGTTCTGACCCACAGTGACCCTGTATAGGATTTCTGAGGCGCGGCTGGTGAGTTTAAACCACAGACCTTGAGGTTCAAATCAACTTTACAGTCTAGCACACTAACCCACAGGGCCACACCAAGATTCCTTAAAAACAGTTACAAAAGCATTATTTTCTTCACATTAAAAAGTAATGAAATAATTTGCAGAGCATACTGTCTTTGTGGACTTTCTCATCATCTACTCGGTTTTCTTAAGGAAAGTCAACATATGGCTTAATTCAACAATAAATCTGAAACCGATGTTTTCAAGGAAGTTTTTTTAATTATCTTGTCTCCATTATCTTCTTTGCTCAAATCATGCCACAAGATATGATAGAGTAATCAGCTCTCTTGACCCTTCTATTGAGTAAATAGCCCAAAGGGCTTGGTCTTTAGAAAAGATTTTGCGACATTTTTTCATCATGAACCTTTCTATTCTATGAAAATTCAAAGGAGCAATCAGTGAAGGATGAAGCTATTCCTTTCTCCTTTCCCCTTCTCCCAAAATAAACAAACCAAACAAAACCCATTGCTATCAAGTGGGGTCCAGCTTTTGATGAGGATACAGGGCAGAACAGAACTGCACACAAGGTTTGTACGGTTGTCAGTCTTTAAGGAAGCAGATTGTTTCATCTTTGTCCCACAGAGCGGCTGGTGGGTTCACACTGAATTAGCAGTCTAGTGCTTAACCACTGTGCTATCAGGGGCTTCTCTCTGTTATAATTGTTGTTGTTAACTGCCATCGAGTTAATTCCTATTCATAGCGACCCTGTACAGGGATTCCAAAGAGCAACTGGTGAGTTTGAACTGCTGACCTCATGGGTTCACAGTCCAGTGATGATCTTACAACGCCACACCAGGAGTCCCTGTTATTAGGAGTGTGGCTCTCTTTCCTGCTTTTGGGACCTCTGCTAACCACGTTGGAAAGCGTACAGAGGGTCGCTTTAAGTCAGAATTGACTCCATGGCACTTAACAACAACAATCTCATCTGAGCAGAAGGTTAAAAATACCCCCCTCCTTTTCTTATCAATTTGCTTTCTAAGGCATTAAATGGAGTCCTGGTGTAGCATTGTAGGAAAAGCACTGGACTGCTAACTGCAAGGTCATCTGTTCAAACCTACCAGCTGCTCCTTGGAAACAGTATACAGGGTCTCGATGAGTCTGAACTGACTTGATGGCATTAGATAAGGAAGGAAATAGAAGACTCTCTGTTTTATCGAACTGGTTGTGTAGGTGCAACCATCACCTGAGACCAAGAGACTTTCTTAAGATCTCAGTTAGATAGGAGATATGCCTGGAACTCACAGGTTTGACTCCCAAGCCCCATTCTGTTCAAAATACAGTAGGGCCTTTCAAGTGAGATTTGGTTCAAAAATGCTAGACAGGGCTTCCTTTTCCCACAAGGCCTGTGGTGCCAAGCGCTTTAAACTGAAAGGTGGTTCGGACCCACCCAGAGGAGCCTGCTTGCTGAAAGGTCAACTCTGCACCCAGGTCGCCATGAGTCGAAATGAACTAGTTGGCAACTAGCAACAGTATAACCCATCGACTTCGTTCTTTAGTTTCTTTTATGAAGTCCGCCCAGACTCATCCTGAACCCAGGCCACACGGCTCCCTACTTGCTACCTTCCCTATCTATTTAGGGCCCTGTGCTGCTAATCGAACGCATTTTCTAACGTTACATGCATTTTCTAACGTTACATGCATTTTCTAACGTTACATGCTTCTCCTTGATGTGCATTTACTGAATGCTTGCTGTTGTCAAACCTCACAAGGTGATTCTAAACAGAAGATGCCTAGGCTCTGCTGTTGGATCCCGAAGACAGCTCTGGGCAGGGGGGCAGAATGGCCTTCCTTTTCTCAGCGCTGATTAAAGAAGTATCATGACAGCATAGGTGTGGGAAGCCCCACGAGTGGATTTCTGCCCCCAAGATCGCACCCGAGAAAGGCAGCTAGTGGTTCAGCCACCAGCGGAAAGGCAGGCTGTGCAGGGGAGGAACCGGGGGGAGCAGCGGGGGAGGAAGGGGGGAGGAGTGGAGAAAGAGGGGGAGCGAGAGGAAGTCGAGTGGGGTGTGTGGGGGGAGGGGAAGAACGAGGAGGAGAAGGGAGGGGTGAATAGGAGAGACACGAGGAGAAAGAGCGGGGCGTGGAGGGGGTAGAAGGAGGAGGAGAGTAAGGAGGAGAAAGGGAGGGAAGAGAAGAGTCGGGGGGAGGAGCCACGAGAGGGGAGGAGCTAGACGAGGGACGGAGCCGGGAGGGGCGGGGCCGGGAGGAGGTCTTCGCCGAGGTCGCAGCCCGGGTGCGTCCTCCTCCGGAGTCCGGCGGGCGAGCGGTCTCTCAGCCTCTGCTCCTCGGCACTGTTCCTCCTGGACGAGCCCGAGGCGTCGGCTCTGGCTGCCCTGGCCGACGAGGACGCCCCGTGCGCCCCCCGCGGGCCGCCGCCGCCGGGAGCCGGAGACCGCGGCGACGCGAACGCGTCTGGGCCGCCGCCGCCCGCAGTGCCGGGGGCCGGCATGGAGCTCTTCCAAGCCAAGGACCACTACATCCTGCAGCAGGGCGAGCGCGCGCTGTGGTGCAGCCGGCGGGACGGCGGCCTCCAGCTCCGGCCCGGTGAGCCGGGGAGGGGGCGCGGCCGGGCCTGGGCGGGCGGCCCGCGGGGAGGCCGAGCGCTGGGCGCGAGCTGTCAGGCTTCCTGACGGGAGGGAGGTGGCCTTGCCCTCGGGCCTCGCGTCCTCCCCACCCGCCCTGGGCAGCGGGGAAGAACGGACGCGCCCCCCTACCTGCTTCCTGAGAAGGTGCCCGGAGACGCGCAGGGTCAGAGGACCCCGAGGCTGCGGCCGGAGTGGTCTCTTCCACCAGAAAGTTGGGACAAGGCGCGTTGGTGTCAGGCCGCTCGCTCCAAGCCGAAGGGGCGGGTGTTGCTCTTCATGCGTCAGTTTCTGGGTTCGAATTCCGATTTCAGGCCGAGATCATTGCCCCTGTCCAGAGAAACGTCCGGAGAGACGTACTCCCTGCTGACATCGATGTGTCTTTGGTCCCTCATCATTTAAGGGGTGACTTTCTTGTGGCTACCTCGAAAGACCCGATGGAAGGCAGATTTTCTTTTGACTTGAAGATTATAGTTAAGTTGTATTGTGATATTCTAATTTTAATATTTTTTGTGCGACTCGATTTTGTGCAGTACAGAATGTATGGTGGGTTGATGTTTGGGTGTCGTTTAAACTTGCTAAATGACTGTGAGGTAAGATACTGAAATCTACAAACATTTGTTCTAAGAAAGTTTGCTTATGGGACTGAGTGAAACAGACCCATCCCTGCTTTCCTCTTTGAAAGGATTTTGCCATTTTTAGGAACCCTGGTGGTGCAGTGGGTAAGCACTCAGCTGCTAACTCAACAGTTTGCGGTTCGAACCCACCAGCAGTTCTGAGGGAGAAAGATGTGGCAATATTCTGTAAAGATTTAAAGCCTTGGAAACTCTCTGGGGCAGTTCTGCTTATTCTGTCTTGTTGTTGTTGTTGTGAAGTGCCGTCGAGTCGATTCCGACCCATAGTGACCCTGTATAGGGTTTCCAAGGAGCAGCTGGTGAGCTTGAACTGCCGACCTTGCAGTTCAAACGGCTTTGCAGTCTGGCATATTAACCCACAGAGCCCATCTTACAGGGACCTAAGTGGAAATCTAATTGATGGGTATGGGTTTCTCTCTCTCTCTCTCTCTTTTTTTTTAAATCACCTCAGATAATTTTAGGTTTATGAAAACATAATTCTTGAAAAAAATAGAGCGTCTCAAATTTCCTTGTAATTTTTGTTTGTAATCTAGACAAAATAATGATCCCATGGTGTAAATTTAAGTGTAAAAGGTCTAAATGAGCTTTTCATGTCATAACAGTTCAAGGATCAGTCCCCTTAATGAGTTGTTCACACATCTTCACAACCACCTTGCCAAGCAAGTGATGGTATCCTGTTTATGAGATGAGGAGGATGGGAGAGTTACGGTTATTTGATGGTGATCACAGAGAGTGAGGTTGGGGCAGTCTGAAGCCCCAGAACACTTTCTGGCAGCCCCTACCATTTGAGACCTGTTAGTTGCTATGCTAGAACAGTGAAGGAGAACTTTATTTTTCTAGGCTTTGGTTTTTTTTTTTTTAACTTCTTATTGTGTATTGAGTGAAGGTTTACAGACTAGCTCATCAGTTTTACATTCAACAAATCAGACACTTTGCTTCATTACAATGACTATACTCCCCACTGTGTACGGTCAGTTAATAGTATTTACCTCTATTCACTTTAACTCTTTCTTGCATTCCTCCCTGTATCTTCCACTACCTTCGTATTCCCCTGCCAACTTCTCTCTTGTTGTTTATTGCCTTCCCTGTCACCCATGTTAATATGTGTGGCTGTATTTTCATTTTATTTCTTCTATGCAGAATGGAGGGAGTATGGTAGCTCTATACAATAAGCGCTGGACTGCGAACCAGAAGTCGGTGGTTTGAGCCTACCAGCTGCTTTGCGGAAGGAAGATGAGACTTTAATCTCCTGTAAAGATTTGCAGTCCTGGAAACCCTATTGCAGCCTTGGATCTAACTTGACAGCCCTTAAAAGCAGCATTCAGAATGGAAGAAGTTCTGGTGGTGTAGTGGTTTAACTGCTTAACTGCCAACAGAAAGGTGGTAGTTTAAACCCACCAGTGGCTCCTTGGGAAAAAGATGGGGCAGTCTGCTTGTGTACAAATTACAGGCTTGGAAACCCTGTGGGGCAGTTCTACTCCATCCTGTAGGGTTATGTAGGGTCTCTATGAGTCAGAATTGACTCAAGGGGAACAAGTTTGGATTCCAAATGGAAGAGAAAAGCAGGTGTATCCAGATTAGGTTCTTGATGTTACTAGGACAGAAGCCATTGTTGTTAATTGCTGTTAGGGGCTGGTACGTTGGTTATGTCTCATAGCAACCCGTACAGGGTTTTTGAGGCTGTAAAGGCTTATCTTTCACAGAGCGGCTGGTGGGTTTGAACTGTTGACCTTGTGGTTAGAAGTCCAGTGCTTATCCAACGTTACTGTTGTTGTTTAGTCCCACCAGGTTGGTTTTGACTCATAGCGACCCTGTGTAGGGTTTCTGAGTCTGTAAATCCTTGCCAGAGCAAAAACCCTAATCTTTCCTCTGAGGACTGACTGGTAAGCTAGAACTGCTGACCTTTGAGTAGCAGTTTAGTGCTTATCCTATGCTGTAGGTAGACTTATTTTGGCCTGTTTCCAGTCATTGTCTTCTCACTTCTATTTTTCTTGATTTGATCATTGATCATTTGCCTGATCCCCTCTTCACATCTCCCCCAAAAGGTTTTATTAAGTCTTCAGTGCAGCTTTGGATAAGAGCGAATGCAGAATTTCCCAGGCTGTGAAATAACCGGCTCCGAGATCCCTTCCAACTCATTGTACAGATGCAAACTTTCCTGCCCCTTTATTTCCTCAACTCTAAAATGATGGTTGGGTTTAGACTACTTGTACACAGTGAAATTGTTTCCTTTAAAACAGTACCCATTTGTATATTGTAGGTCTTGGGGGACAAGAAAGGATATTTTTCATGAAAAAATTACTCAGGCAACCCCTTCGTAGGTTGTTTGTGTATTTGGATAGAGAATTGAGTAAATAGGATGGACTTGATTGGCTGTCTCCATTTCCGGGCCATCCCCTTTCCTTTCTCTTAGCCTCTAAGATAGACTGCAGTTGAGTGGATTCTGATTCATAATGATCCTCTGAAACAGAGAAGAACTACCTCGTAGAGTTTCTAAGGCTGTGAATTGTTTAGAAACAGACTGCCACATCTCTTTTCCAGCAGAAAGGCTAGTGGGTTTGAACTATGTTTTTGCTTAGCAACCCATTGCTTAGCCACGGCACTGTCAGGGTTCCTAGAAATGAACCTAACTGGTGGAGTTACATGGCACAGGGTAAGGTCACTGGAGGCTTTTGAATACGAGGGGTTTTTAAGAAATGGCTTGTCATTCTCTTTGGTCTGTATTGGTCTCTTGTACATCAGAGGCCCTTCCATCCTGATGGCTGTTTGGGAAGAAGGGATTCTCCTCAAGTGAAGTAAGGATGCTGGCTAGTGTCTTGCCTTTGAGTGGAAGTAATACTTGGACCCTTGTTTCTGATGGAGAAAAACTCACATAGATGTGCAGGGCCACAGTATCAAGCCTTGCTGGTCTATTTACCTGGCTTGGATTTTGGATGAAGCTCTGTGGTTTGGATTACTGTTTATTTCTCCAAATTCCGTATCAGAAGGGAAATTAAAAAAATATTTTTTTCTGACTAGACATCTAGTTCCCTCAAGCTTGTCTCTGAAGCCGACTGAAATCTAGAGGAGGGAGGGAAGCATTCAGAAGTATTGGCCAGTTTGACTTTCAGAGTGAAAGTATCCAGGCAGTGATTAAAAGATGCAGGCCCGTGACTTTGCCACATTGTCTTTGCTCCCCAATACTCAGGATCCTTTCTAAATAATGGCTACTTAATTATGGTGTTTCAATTAAATAAATGCCTTTTAGATTTTTTCCATATATATATATATATATATATATATATTTATTTATTTAAAATTCTCTTCATGCTGTTGTTGGACTGTTTTTATGGTCAGTTCTGCTTTTGTTTGTAGTGACAGCATTGAAAATCTTTCATTGTTTTTTATTGTTTATTCAACTGAATAGATTGCTGACCAAAACGTTTTATTATCTTTTTTCCAAAGGGCAGTATTAGAAGGCCCCCAGAACTCTTGGGCATTGTGGCTTTTATAGTTGCGGCTATTAAACAGGGTTTTTCTTTTTCCTAGAGATGTTAGAAGAATCAGTATTAGTAGTGATGTTGTTAAGAGCTGTTGGGTCGGTTCTGACTCATAGTGACCCTGTTTCCAAGGGGCAACTCTGGTGGGTTTGAACTGCCGACCTTGTGTTTTGCTGTCCAATGTTTACCCTCCAGTGCTACACCAGAGTCCAGTATTGGTGATAACATAAGATTGAATGTCTGCTTCCTTAGCCCGAACTATGTATTATTGTCAGCCCCCTTTTCTGCTTAGTTCATTCTGTAAAATCCAGCCCCCATGCCAACCTCATTCTGTGTTCACCCCAGTCCTCCTCCCTGGGGACAAATTATTGGTCATCTTTATGTATTTCCAGGTACTTTATATCTACATCATATAATAATATCTACCTCCTGTAATAAATAATAACACATAATAATACCAGGTACTTTATATCTACACCACACCTTGCTTGCTTCTTTCACAGTGGATAGTCAAGGTCAAACACTGTACTTGACTCATCTTGGTAGCTGTGGGCTTCAGATGTAGAAAGCATTTTTGGTTGCATTGAGCTGAATGCAATTTAAGTTCACGTTTTCTCTCAATGATACCATAGCCTTAAACAGTAAGATGTGGTGTTACGATTACTTAGTTTAGGCCCTGTCTTGAGAATCTTTAGAGTGGAACAGAAGCATCTTTGTCCAGTTGGGTGAGAAAATATGTGGAAGAGTGCATTTCTATTAGGTTATTTTTCTATCTGGTTTAGCATCATTGACCTGGTATGGCACTGAGGGTTAACGTGCTGGACTACAAAGTCAGTTTGAACCACAAG